GTTGCCAGCTCCGCTTCGCTGCGCCGGCAACTCGGTTCGACAGGGGGCCGGCCCAGCTTGGCCTGCCGGCGGCCTTTCCTCGGGCCTTCGGCCCTCGCATCAGACCCAACTTGGCCAGTCGAAGGCCCGGGCCTTCGGCCCGCTCGCATCACACACCCCGTGAGCGGGTAAAGCAAAGTTATCGATGTACCATCGTGACTTAGGCCCGCCCTTCTATTCACAATATGCAATAGTCCTTACACTTTTTACTCCAACTGTCCTTAGAATATGTCCATTTCATTTGTCTCTACGCCCTCATTCCGAAAATACCCATATTTGCCATGCTACTGCAACTCCTTGCAATAGAGGCGCAGCAGGAGCGCAAAGCGAGTCCGTCGCACTTTTTCCCATAACTCATGAAGGCGGGCTCCTGGACCCCCCTTTCGACCCCTCGTTGAAGAGGTCTTGCCAAGACCTATCCAAAACTTAAGTAAAAATTTTCAGTCGATCGACCCCCTGTTTTCAAGATCCTGATGTGACTAATAGACGAAGTCGAGCTCCTGGACCCCCTTTCCGACCCCTCGTTGAAAAGGTCTTGCTGAGACCAATCGAAATCTGCAATAAATTTTTTTAGTCGGTCGACCCCCTTTTTTGAAGATCCTAATCTGGCCAACTTGTAAAATAAAGCGGCCGATGGGGTCGGGACCAGGTCCATTCATCTTGTCTCGTCGCCCCGATTCCAAAAATACTCCTATGTGCCCTGCTAGCACCAATAATGGCGGAAATCCCCCTCCCGCTCATGTAAACCATGATGCACCTGCAGCAGCCCTTGTGCGACCCGGACGGGATTTGCACCACCGGATTATTTGTTTGGACGGTACTCCTGAAGTACCCTCCAAATCTGGTTACTCTAGCTCAACTCCTTCCTTGTACACAGACACCAACAACAACAACAACAACAACAACAACACACAGACACAAAGGCAAATGCATAGGCCCTCCCCCTATTTTTTGAATAGAAGGGCGGGCCAAAAAGTGTGCAAAATCTCACCGAGATCGGCCGAGCTGTTCAGGAGGAGTAGTGCGGACACACACACACACACACACACACAGACAGAAAAAACTTTTCAACCCCAATGGAGTAACAGGCTTCGCTATCGCTCAGCCAATCAATCAGCGCTTCAGGCTGGTGCGTCGAGCTCAGCCTGAGGTTTTTACACTTTTGCACTTTTTCACGAATTACGTCAAGTAGTCCACACATCGAAGTTTTTGAGATAATAAGGATCTCGTGACTGTAGTAAAGACCACTCTGATATATGAAGAGGGCTGGCTCCATTACACGTTTTCGATTTTGAAGTATGGTTTATGTGCCCCAGCCCGAAGTCAAATATCCTTAAAAAGTACGCAGCGTGAGTTTTCTGTGTGTCAACAATTTGTAAGTAGCTTGGGCACCCCATCCACCAATGAACTAATGGGCGCAAAAGTGGGCACGGAGATAATTCATCATCAGCGCTGTTGGGCCTCAGCAGACCTCTAGCGTTCGAATAAGCAGCTCTCGCGGGAGTGCGACTGACCTTGCATATGTCTCTTGGGAGGGGTTGGCGCGGGCCTCAAGGGTCGTGGAGGCCCCAGTTACAGTCGATCTCGTGGCTCTAGTCGCGAGGGTGGCACAAAGGGTGGCAGGACTCCACGGATACTTCCGCGAGGCCAATGGCACTCCCGCCAGTACTGCGAGTCCCGCGACACCCCCTCGTGAGGACCTGCTACCCTTAGTGGCAGCGGGTGCCTACGTGTCAAGTGCCAAGGCTAATCACAAAATACTAATTTTCTCCGTCCGAAGAAGTTTGCGCCCTCTAGTTCATTGGTGAAAGATGATCCTGACCCCTACCTACCTATTGCCACGTTAAAAACTTCGCCCACTAAAATCCAGGACGATTGAGAAAAATGATCCTCTTCGTTCCTGATTTAAAAACTGGAACTAAAACTGGAAAAATCAAATGGTTCATTTTAAAGCCCTGGGACCCAAATTTTCTGCGAGGACTTACACACTTACAACCCTACAAAGAACTGCTCGTTGTAATACAAAGAAAACGAAGGCTTCGCAGGCCACGAAGGAAATCGTTTGCAATCGAACGATTGCAATTCAAAGAAAAAATCCTTTGTAGCCTACGAAGAACTTCTTCGCAGCCTGCGAAGGACTTTTCCTTTGTATTACAAACAAAATCGTTCGTATTACAAACGATTTCCTTCGTAGGCTGCGAAGCCTTCGTTTTCTTTGTATTACAACGAGCAGTTAGTTCTTTGTAGGAATTTGTATAAACAGGGTCGTGACGGTCGCCCGTTACATTTTGCTTCACATATTGGGGGATCTGCGAGGACACAGAAAACCTTTGTGAGCCTAAACAGTCCGTCGATTTCTAGATGCCCACTCCATGGGGGCCCATGTTGCGGAGCATCCCTGCCTGGGCAGCCATTTGGACCATGGCGTTGCAGGGTGGCGTGTTCCTGGCCTTCCTTACGAAGATCCCTACGTATCTCAGCACCGTCCTCAAGTTTGAGATGAAAGAGGTGCGTGGTGTGTTACGTAAGAGAAAAGAAAGTCAACGGCTTCTTTCTTGAACCAAATCCGTATTTTGTGAACCAATGGAGTATCTGATACACAATGTTATGTTCTCGAAAAGAATCGAATTCAATCGGGAAGTTGTCCCCACGCTTGACCAAACTCAATCGCGTCAAAGTTGATTTAGATTGGCTTTTATTTTCTTATTTCGCCACATTTTGAGATTTTCGACCCACCCACTAAATTGCTATGTAGCTTTTTGTGCATAACCTATGCACAAAATTGCGCCTGCGTTTCTAAACGCACTCTTTGTGCGTAGTTGCTCACAAACTCGTCCATTTTAAGGGGGCAGTAGCACTTTGTGCACGCTTTTTCAATTTTTTTCGAATTTTCTGTTTGCACCTGAATTAAATAGATTTCCATGAAGGCTAGAGACAAACAGCAGTAACCATGTAAAAGATCAATTTTTTTGCAACAATTTCAAAAAAAAAGGATTTTGTTTTAGCATAAGGGGAGGCACCTATATGAGGGACGTAAAAAAGGTCTGCAAAATCATACGTGGTGTCACTGCGCGCACGATTTCAGCCAAAGTTTTCAACATTTTTTCAATCGGTAAAGTGCATAAAAAAGAGCATAAAATTGCCTACAAAATGAACCACGGGGGTTAAGGGGGGACCCTGGTGAAACTTTCAAGTAGGCTTCAAAATAATCCCAGGAAGTTGAAACTTTGCTCAATTATTAGGTTCATTATAGTGAGTTCCCAAAACAAAATTCAATCCAAAATGTTGAACGGTCTCTGAGAAAAGTGGCTTTTTAGTGTTTTTTGGAGCGTTGGGGAAAAATCTTCCTGCGTCTTTCATTGGGACGGAAAGTCTTGAAGATTTTTTTGGGTTATCCTAAAGATGTATAGAAGAGATTTTAGTGACGGAATTTTCAAATTCAACTTCTGTCCTGAGATATGAGTTTTCAAATTTTAACATTAAAAAAAAAGTGATTTTTTTCCCTTTTTTCAAACTTTTAGGTGTGTTTTAAAAAAAGTAGGGCTGATATCAAGATTCCGTCACTAAATTTTGTCGACAAGTCATCAATGAATAGAGTCCATGCAAGACGACTCATGTAGGTGTCAACCAGGAACGCAGGAAGTCTTTCTACGACAAAATTTTTTGTCGACTGAGCAAAGCTGTGAAGTTGAGCGTAGATGCCAACGACAACTGATCTCAATGTTGTTTCCTTCCAAATGATAAAGAAACTACCCACTTAGCTTAAAGGTGTTCAACCTGTTGAATCTGAAACCAACTATGCACATTTTTATCTATGAACTTTGAAAATACAATTTATTGGAATTTTGGCGATTTTTTCACCAGGGTCCCCCCTTAATATCGGATGAAAAATGCTACTGGATATTTAGTATCGAACAAGAAAAATGCATTCAATGGAAAATTTGTGAAAAACGACCTTTTTCTACCAGCGTTTTTGGCCCGATATTAACCCCCGTGGTTCATTTTGTAGGCAATTTTATGCTCTTTTTTATGCACTTTACCGATTGAAAAAAAGTTGAAAACTTTGGCTGAAATCGTGCGCGCAGTGACGCCATGTATGATTTTGCAGACCTTTTTTACGTCCCTCATATAAGTGCCTCCCCTTATGCTAAACCAGAATACTTTTTTTTGAAATTGTTGCAAAAAAATTGATCTTTTACATGGTTACTGCCGTTTGTCTCTAGCATTCATGGAAGTCTTTTTAATTCAGGTGAAAACAGAAAATTCGAAAAAACTTGAAAAAGCGTGCACAAAGTGCTACTGCCCCCTTAAAACGCATGCAGAGTTTCGTAGAAAGCTTATGCACAAAAAAAACTACATAGTAATTTAGTGTGTGGTGGGTTCGGCCTGTAACGCAGAACTCTTTTTTCTTCCCTGTAGAATGGCGTTTTGACAGCGCTGCCCTACTTGCTGTCATGGTTTCTCAGTTTTCCCTTCGGATGGTCGTGTGACAAGCTGGTGAGCCGGGGTTACCTTTCACTGACGGCCGCTCGGAAGGTGTACAACTCAATATGTGAGGAATCTAGGGGACTCTGTTTACCGTTGTATTCGTCGGGGTGAGAGTTTCGTCACGCTTCTTCGAATATTACGTCATAGTCGTTGCAGTGTTGATCCACGTTCAGACGTACGTGATATCGTAAATGCACCCGTGTCGCGTACAAACTTATTTTTTTCCTTTTTTTTTCGGCATTGCGTGTACTTTCAATGGGCCTTTTCCAAGTCCTAACTAACGTAACAAAATCCACCATCCGCTGGTACGAAATATCGTCGTTCTCACCTCAGGCGCGCCCGGTGTCTGTGCCCCTCCCTCTTTCTTTCCGTACTGCCCATGCATGGGCGACAGGGCACTCAGACGGAGCTCTAGCCTGGACAAAGATCGAAACCGGAAGTCAGGAATGACAGATGTAGGGAAATATTCGCGGTGGATGAGGTCTTGGGCTCACCCGTGGCGATATTTTGTCACAGCAACTGCCTTTTTCCCCACTTCCAATTGTCTTTTTCCGGGCTAGAGCTCTTTTGATGTGCACTATTTTATTGATATTTTATTATAGTGTATAACATACTTTCAAATTTCAGTTCCTTTTTTCTCTCTGGTTGTAGCGGGACATCCTGTATCACTCTCATTCCACACTCTCAGCCTTTTACTGACTTTTTCTCATTGGCTTACGCATTTCTGTAAGCAACCATAATACTTAGTATTTTTTGTCAGTATTACTTAGTAATTGCTAATTACTGTACTGATATTACCGTTTTCTTAGTAAATTACAAAGAAATTTTTATGTACTTAAGAACTAAATACTAAGTATTATGGTTGCTTACAGAAATACGTCTGCTAATGAGAAATAGTAGAAAACGGCTGAGAGTGCAAGTACGTGACATTACGTTGAAACGAACGTGACGAATGCACGTTCGTTTAAGCATTGTCTCACATTCGTTTGAATGTGAACAAGCAAATTTTTGGCCGATTCACACCCAAAAGGAATGTGACTCAATGCTCGAACGAACGTGACACGAGTTTGTCACGTTCGTTTCAACGTGATGTCACTTTCCTGGAATGAGAGTGATTGAGGTGACGACCCCGCTCCTTAATCTCGAACTGAATTTAAATGCCAACAACTTTTAACATTTATTCAACTTTAACAGCACACGTCGGCAGTGGGGTAGCCATCCTCGCGCTGGGCTTCTGCAACGACCCCAACACGTCCGTGGTGCTGCTCATCTTAAGCATAGGCGTCATGTCTGCCTCGTACCCTGGAGTTCAAGCGAACTTCATGGACCTTTCGCCGAACTATTCTGGCACAATTTTCAGTATATCCAACTTCCTGTCGGCCGTTTGCGGTGTTTTCGGACCAATCATCATAAGTTTCATAGTCACTGAAAAGGTAAGGCCGCATCCAATTTTCCAGAAATTTCGAACGGACTTTTATGACATTAGCCCGAATGTCTTGGGTACCTATAGCATGCGTTTCCGAACTGACCGTCTGCAACGCTAGAAGTGAATATTAGGCCGTAGCACAGCAACTTGTCTATGATTTTGTTCTCCTTTCTTCAGGGCTCAGTATCCCAGTGGAGAACGGTGTACTGCTTGCTGTCTGCAGTCATGTTCCTCAGCAACCTAGTCTATGTATTTTACGGAAGCGCAGAAGTTCAACCGTGGAATGACCCGTCAGATAATCACAATAAAATCAGGGGCACCAAAACGGACGAGGAAAAGGAGGAAGGTAAGTAATTGTCATGTACCACGTCCTGGACACGATCCCTTGAAACCTCGTAGATATCTCCCGAAATCTGGTCGGGGAAACAAATGCTAAATTTATTGGAAAAACTTCAAAACTGATTTGATGTCTATTCTGAGTGTGGGCCGAAAGGTTTATGGTAACACAAAGTCTCTGGAAATTCTCGACAGATTATTCGAACGCACTTACACTGCGAGAAAAAAAATAAGGGTGTGAGTGTTCATTTGGGCGTCATTGTCCACTCTACCCTCACTCTCATTCCAGGAACGTGACATAACGTTGACACGAACGTGACAAAATGTCACGTTCATTTGAGCATTGTGTCCCGTTCGTTTGAATGTGAACAAGCTAATTTTCGGCCGATTCACATCCAAACGAATGTGACTTCACGTTCGTTTCAACATGATTTCACGTACCTGTAACGAGATCTGCAAGAAGGTTTCCACCTTACCTGAGAAGGAGTCTCTTTCTTACGGAAGATTATTTACTTCAACTCGGGTACTTATATCCACCATACGCGCCTATACCTTAGAAACTGCAGGCACCGTACAGTACACTTCAAACTGTAAAACAAATGCAAACCTGATCCTTAAAGAAACCTATTAGAGCACAGTGAATAGTGGCATCAAAATGGGCAGTCACGACCTTCATGCATTCTCGCGGTGCCGAGGCCTCTCGTATTTTTCATATTACGGTTTGACGATGAAATTTAAGGCAAAATCGGGCGTGTTTTCGATTATTTCCCTTGCTCTTGGTCCTGTTAATGCCTTCACTCACCACCACCATCCTTTTTCTTGCACATCTTTCAACAGGCGAGAAGTTGGCATCCATAACGTGAGAAGAAGGAAAATCGTGACGGCTGCTCAACAGAAATGGATCCGCATGCATTTGTGGCTCGACACCCCTTCTACGTGCGAGGGTTGTTCACCTCGAGTTGCACCACAGGTGTGAAAAGAAGATAAGCAGGACAAAACCGTCATCCGGGCGGGCCTGAGTGCACTGTTTGGACTTGATGACTCAGGTGCTGCGCGTAACAGTGACCTTACTTACCCTCTGAAAAATAGTAGTGGTTTCCAGAAACACTTACGTGAGAAAAGACACGGCCCTTTGCATCTAGGATTCGGCTTCGAAATCATAAGCAGGCCCCATAGTTTTTTGTTTCAGTCAGACATTTTAGGTACTCTAGCAAATTTATTTACTTTTCCAAACGGAACTGTTGCGAAGTTCAAAAGAAAGTAGAACCCTCTCCAAACATGCAGTCCAAGGAGAAAAACCTTTAAAGAGGACGTGAATGAACGTGCTGTGGGTAGTTTTTGCGCATAAAAGTGTAAAACAAATCAAATAAAGAGAAAGTATTTTCATTTTTTCATTACTTAGCCGTTAAGGGGAGGTTCTACTGAAAATCTTACTTTCTTCAAATTGAGTCCCATTATCAATATTCATTGTAAATTTAAAGTATTTCATAGTCAATAGTTAAATTTGAAGTTTGGAGAGCAATACCTAGCCCCCAACCCAGTCGAAGAGGAATTTTCTGCTATTTCCAGTCGTAACTTGAAAAATTCTCCTACGCAAAGTATTTCAACGTAAACTGATGTTCTGGGCATTTTTCACTTCTTTGGTTCATAATTGATAAACCGTGGCATTAGTAAGATACTGGGACCATTACAAAACCATAAGCTGTGTTTTTAAGACAGCATGTCAATAAAATTTCAAGAAAATGTTAAAATTTCTGATATTTTAGTGACTTTTTTTCTGAAAAGCAACGACAAAATAAATTTGTTGGGTCCCATGTCTTGGTGATGCCACGCTTTATTGCATATGAGCCAAAGAAGTGAAAAATGTCCAGAACATCAGTTTACGTTGAAATGCTTTGCGTAGGAGAATTTTTTAAGATATTGCTACAATAGGCTGAAAAAACCTCTTCGACTGGATTTGGAGGGAGGTATTGGGCTCTAAATTTCATGTTTGACCATGAACTATGTATTACTATACATCTGCAACAAATTTTTACACTGGGTCTCAATTTGAAAAATGCAATATTTTCAGTAGAACCTCCCCTTAAATTGACCCCGTACATCGATACAAAATGTGTCAAGAAAGGTAAACTCGCGTGCAACAGTAGTTGGGTGTTTGCGGCTGCCAAGGCCATGTTTGCGTCGCCTCGTCTTTCCGCTCCTTTCCGCCGCGACGCGATGGGAGTAAATCAGTCAGGGCAGGTCGCGTTGTGGCCCCGCCTGAGCGATAAGAGAAAGAGGCAGGGAGGAACTTTCCAGGGACATTGCATCAACCAGTGTCCGTCTCAACGCCGTTATTAAAAATGAAAAATGGTTGACTCTACTAGAAAGCCAAACGTGGTCCACAGCGCGAGAAGCCAGAGATATTGCCATATGAGTTTAGAAAGTAATAGATTGCTTTTTCAATTGTGTGACCCAAGCGTTAAGTTCAAACATGAGACGGAAGCCATAATGTGTCAATTGAGCCCAAAATAGTGAAAAGCCCCCCAATTTCAACCTAACTGATTTTTTTTCTCCTTTCCTGTACATGGGGCCAGCAGGCTCTTGGTACACTAACAGGGGAGTCTTTCAAAAAAATTTCAGCCAAATCCATGATGACGTCTTTTTCGATATTTGCAGATTTTATTTATTTTTTTTTTGTAAAAATTGTTCACCAAAATTACAAAAAAAAAATAATAATTAGTTTTTAGTGTCTACAAGTAAGGAAGAGTCACCAATAAAATTTGGCCCAATTCTAACAATTTGTCTTAAGGGGGGACATCACTCCAAAAACAGTGCTTTTGTAAAAACGCCACAAAAACCAAACGGAAAGAGAAAAATTGTTCATATTTTAACAGATAAAGTACAAAACAACACTAAGTCAATCCGCCAGGGCAGTACAGCGCTTTCGTTGAAAACGCATTTTTGAGTGTTAGGTTTGTCCATTTCGCACGGTTGCAGCGCTGGACGCCAAACGGTTTGACCTAGAACAACGAAATTTTGTGACAGCCTTCCTGAGATGTCTGGCTATGGTGGGTACCTCAATCACATTTAAAAAAACATTTTTAGTTGTATTTGTGACATACCAAAAAAAATTGTTGAATTTTTTTGGTCGAAATTGTTTAATTACGAACGTTTAATAAATAATAAAAATTGACCAATGCAAATTATTTTGCTACCCACCATAGCGGCATGTCGTAGGAGCTTCCATGCTAAATCTCCCCGCTGTAGCTCAAAAACTGCGCCCTAGAGGACTGCAACCGTTTGCAATTTTATGTTCCGAGAAAAACGCGATCAAAGTTGGGGAAACTGGGCTTTTCCCCTATGCATGTTTGCGGTCCACAACCTCCTAAAACTGCAATTTTTTGAATTTTGGAATGCGGTTTTCGCCATTCGACGCAGAAAAGAATGGTCTATAGTATAAACTAATAAAAAAAAGTTGCAATTTTTGATCATTTTGGAGTAATGTCCCCCCTTAAGGCCTGTTATTCTGTCATGGAATGCACCTCCCACGATGCAGACATGCTAAATGTCTGCAAGTTGTTGCACATTTGTTTCTTTTCTGTTGAATGTTCTGAGTTAATTGCGGGGAGAAGATACCAAATTATTGTGTTATCCAGGACAAATACACAGTATGGTCCAGCTATCCGTGCCACCATTCATGATGATAAATCTCCATCGCGGAGAAGTTTCGTTTATTTACCAGTATGTTTCCGGTCTTTGTCTGATGAAGGTCTGAATGAGTTAAACTCGCAAGCTAATTCTGCTGAAAGTTTATGTAGCATTTACAACGGCAAAGTTGGGAAGGCGGACATGATTGAATTAGTTTAAATTTTTGGCGTTATGCTGAAAGTCGTGGAGATGTCAAATATTCATTGAGTTTTTAGGTCTGATTATATTTCAGTTTTTCATTTATTTTCAGTTGGCATTGATGAAGATGAGGAAGATGATGTGGACACGGATGTTAATGAAAATTTTTAACGAATTTCTTAACGAATTTTTCCTGCATTGTATCTTGGAGTCTCAAATGTATCAAAGAAATTGTGTGAAAATTATCTTTTATCTGAAATGAGATCTCATGCAGGATGTGAGATGAATTTGGACATTGCTGAAGCAATTGTGCGTGATATAAATTTTGGCTCACTAACAGTTGATAGAATGTGTGATGGATGTGATGGTGATCATCGGCTGTGGATGATAGGTGGAGGATTGGTATCATTTCTTTTGCAGGAAACATGTATGTTTAATGATATTGATACTTTTGTCTACTGGTAACAAAGATATGCGTAATCGTTATACATATTCTGTCTATTTTATTCAAAAAAGTAACTAGTACCGTCACTGTATTAAATAGTTACTACTTGTAACTGTCCGAACCCTCGTCCTAGTTCTGAGTGGAAAGCTATATACCCGCCGTGCATTCTGGCCATTGACGGGCAGCGCGGTGCGTTTTCACATTGAGCTAGTTTATTTAATACGTGCAACGACTTCCCATGACCCCCTCCGATTTTGCCCAAAAATTTTTTTTAAGATGCCCTTATGGTAAGAAAAAACATTCTAAAATGTTAGGTCGCCAAAAAATTTATTGGCTGAGATATACAGTGTTTTCTGAATTTGCCTCTTTTTTTACTCAATTTGGGAGTTTCTTAACTACGCCGAGGTTTTTGGTGCTAAGTGGCTGAAAATGGGTATCCTTATGTAAAATTGACCAAGGAACAAGAATATGGCCACATAACATCCTTTTAATAAATGACAGTCGGGTGAACTGTAACTTGCTTAGGAGACCAATGGTACGACTGCACAGCCCCCTGTACCAAGCAGCTATAGTTCATTGAAAAGTCCATGTTCACAACTACTTTGTCCTGTGGAAGGTCTTCTCTCATTTTCTTCACATAGCATGCCTGGCTGTACGCAATAAAACTGTGCGGAATCAGGTCATTGAGTTTCTTTGCAGCAAGTTCAATTAATTCAGAACGCTTACAAATTTGTACCAACATTTCTGTTTTATCAGTGGATTTCCATTGCCTGAACTTGATGGTCCCTTCAAGAAATTCAAACTCTTCGTGTTCAAACTGTAACTGCTCAGGGACTTGTATTTGACGTCGAATTGTTTCCTGCACTTGTTCTAATGATGGACAGTTTTCACATAGTTTGAGCATGCAACATCTATCTTCAATATTGCAAACACACAATTTTATCAATTCACTATAATGTATCTTGATGTTCAGAGCATAGAGAATAAGCTTAAAATTTTGGTGTGTTTGGCAAATACACTGTTCATGGGTTCCTGCTCCGCCAGCAAAAACACACCACTTAGGCCTCAGGGCATAAAATGTTGAAAGCCCTACTTTGAGGTCTGGGTAAGCCTTTTTGAAAGACTCGTAAAGTTCAGCAACATCACAGAGAAGCAATCTCTTTTGCTCGTAAACTCCTTTACTGACACTTACACAATCTCTCACCCCAGGTAGAGCTTTAGAGTTTTCATCTGAACAGTAGAAGTCTTTAATGAGCAGTCTAGTAGAATCAAGAACACTTGATTTTCTTGTAAAATCTCTCCCAGGTAATATTCCTTTTTGAATTCTCAATTCTCGGGTATTCTTAATTAGAGTTCTCCCAACACCAAAAAATTGGGCTGCTGCATTGACAGACCAGCTAAGAGGAACAAGCGAAAGCAATTGGTATTTCTCAAATCTAGTGGCTGAGAGTAATTTTTCTTTGATGTCATTCATAAGAAGATCGTGATCTTGGGCTTTTCTAGCTTCTGGAGGCTGAGGTAAATCTTCAACAGTGATTCCTGCTGCCACACAAACTTTCTTCTGAACCAAGTCCATAGCTTCATCAATCTTTCTTTTAGTCACAGCAGCTATTCCTGCTTGTGACTTGACTCCGGTGAGTACTAGTGGTCCCACACCCAATGATGTCAATTTCCGCTTAGAAGATTCAGTTCGCACCACAGGACTCAACGTTGGAGAGCATGAATCACTGGACTGGCTTGTACCAGCAACAGCGACAATTTCTTGGCTGTTAGGCTCACTCTTCTCTGCAGCCAGTTCTCCAGAAATTTCTGCAAATAGATCTGCCAATCCCAAATCTGCAAAAGAAACGCACTGTATTATTAATAATTTAAAAGACACAAAAAATAGTCAATAATGTAACAAATAAAATGGTCACCTTTGATTGATGTTTCATCAAATTCTTCTATATTATCATCTGATCCCACAGATGTTTTTGATTGGGCAGAACCTGTGCAAAAAAGAGAGGAAGATAAAACTGAACACCTAGATCTCATATGTAACATTCATAACATTGGTTCAAACTCACTTGAATCATGCTTGCGGCAGGTGTCACACCAAAATTGACCAACATTCCAATTCAGCTTTTCACAACGTATCCTATCAGAATCATTAATTCGTCTCAGACCCTTGTAAATTGCATTCGAGTGCAATTTGAATGGATTGCAGCATACATCTACAAAAAGGTACAAAAATTAATTATAAAAAAAGAACTGTGGCGTTTCAGTGGAGAAGTAACGTAACTGAGTGGTGGTCTTTTACCCTTGGGCTGGCTCTGGCCAGAGTTGGAACTTTGCCCGCTTCCTGAGGGCCCATGATGTTTCTTTGGTAATTCTATAGAACTACAGTCAAGACCTGAGAACAGGTGAAAATTAACATAACATACTCATACAACTTTTGTGGACAATACTGGTGTAGTGGCTTGGGGTTTACCTTCTGAAATTTTTCGACAGTTGTCACAAATATAAGATCCAACAATCAGTCCAGGGTTCTTCTCCTTGTCGAATGCAACAATAACTCTCAAATTAAGAGTTACTGGCTTCCTATGCTTCTGATAAGGGTCACAGCACACTTTCTTTGCAAAAACTAAAAAGATAAGGTAAGGTTAAGTTCTCGTAAACTGTCAGGTAAACAAACAACAAATTGCCAAAACCTTTTGTTTACATGCAGTGTACACACCTGGAGGTGCCATCTTGACATACACGACTCTCTGGACGGTAAACAAGTCCAAACGGGCCGAAACAAGCTTCGGCGAGCGACCGTCACAAAACCACAACACCCTCACTACGACTATCAAAAAAAGCACGCAGGTCAGGTCTGCCTGCCACTGTCTACAATATTGCGTTGACAGTGGAAAACAGGAAAAGGGGGGAGGGGGGGGGGACGATGACACAGCCGTCCAGCCAGCCGACCGAATCCGAAGGGCTTCCGAACCTTCCCGAAGGTTGACAGCTTGAGACCGACGCCGAGTGGCATTCCCCCCGGCAAACCAGCGCGTTGGGTGGCCTACCTACCAGGCGTTGTTGGGCGGGCTTGCCTACCCTCAGCTGTTCAGGCGCCCTGAAAGGGGACGCTGCACAGAACCGCTGTGCCGCCTCGCCACCTTCTCAACTCCCACTGCCCGCGCCGACCACTCTTTGGACGCAAGGAACACTGCTTATAAGGTGCAGGGGCCGGGCATTAAGTGACGAGGTCAAAAGTGCCGCTTTTCAGCCCCCCCTGGAAAAAGCTCCAACTTTGAAGCCCTATAGCTTCTAAACGGTTGAAGCTAGAAACCTGGGCGTGTGCTCATTCGCTTTATTGACTCTTTTTCTACAAGATAGTGCCAACGGATGGTGAAAAAATTTTTTTTTTGGGCCGTTTCCCCAAGATTTGGGTATTTTCGGTAAAATTTGGTCATTTTCTGTACATATTTCTCAAGATATTGGTCGGAGGTCAAATCTGTGGCCATATTCTTGTTCCTTGGTCAATTTTACATAAGGATACCCATTTTCAGCCACTTAGCACCAAAAACCTCGGCGTAGTTAAGAAACTCCCAAATTGAGTAAACTAGGGGTACGCGCCGTTTAGTCTGGGCGCGTAGTGTGGCTGAGCGATGCGAATTGACATAGTTTGTGCACTTTGGACTTTGCTTGAGTAGACGAAATGTCCATCTTAAGGGCTCATATTCAGTGAACTTTAGACCAGGGGTTCAAATGGAAGTGATTTTCGTTATCAGAACACCAAAAACTGCTGGGATCAGTGTCAAACTCCATTTAAAAATTTTGGTCCAAAATTGGTCAAAATTCGGTTAAATGTGAGTCTGGGAAAAGTTTGAAGGTCATTTTTGAGTTCAGCACACCAAAAACTGCAGGAAACAATGTAAAACTCGACATGAAAATTTTGGTCCAAAATGACCCAATTTAGGATGAAAATATAAGTCTGGAGTCGAAATGAAAGTGATTTTCGTTATTAGCACACAAAAAACTGCTGGGATCAATGTCAAACTCGATTTAAAAATTTTGGTCCAAAATTGGTCAAAATTCGGTTCAATGTGAGTCTGGGAAAATTTTGGAAGTCAGTTTTGAGTTCAGCACACCAAAAACTGCAGGAAACAATATAAAACTTGACTTGAAATTTTTGGTTCAAAATGACCTAATATGGGATGAAAATATAGGTCTGGGGTTAAAATGGGAGTGATTTTCATTATCAGCACTCAAAAAAACTGCAAGAATCACTGTACAATTAATTTTAAAAAATTTAACCAAAAATCGGTTAAATTTTGGGTCAGGGGACAATTTAGAGGTCAATATAGAGGTCAGCGCACTGAAAAATACAGGGAAATACATAAATCTCATCTTGGAAAGTTTGGCCCCAAATTGCGTAGCTCTAGATGAAAATGTAGGATTGGCGTTGAAATAAATGTAGTTTTTGTGACCGGTACACTGAAAACTACACACAATACTTTATACTCAATTTCTGTATATTGTTTCTATTTGTCTTCATGAAGCACCCTCTGTCGTCACCAATTCCCTGATGGCACACCAAAGCGAATCCCTCAGTCGAGTAAAATTTAATTGCCAGCATTCAATCGCTTTATTGGCTACTCGTATGCTTGGGCCACTATTCGATAACTATTTTTTCTTAACTTATGAACTCACAATTTTATAAGTAATATTTATGAAACATTTTGTCATTCTTTCATTGTGAACCAGTGAATAAAACAATATTGATTGGAATATGTTATCACAGTTAATATTGAGAGAGTCAGTTTAGGGTAGGCTGATCTGAACCAGTTAGCGGGGACCAATTATTGTCAAATCCAGTGTTTCGTCACATAGAGACCAATGCCAAGGCTACCCAAGGCTTAATGAACCGACATAATATATCTTACTCATGTTATCAATACTAAGTAGTATCAGTTATATTAACTTTGGTGAAAATAAAGGAATCGTCTCATTAAAACCCATTACTAATCATATATATAGTTGGTTGTCTATGCACTAATTGACTCACCGCTCAAAACCTGAGTCATCTCTTTGAACCCAACATCAATTTAAACTCTATTAGAATTAAACTTACACAACGATATATTGATTCTATTAATAAACACATGTTAGTACTTTTGCATTCTTGTCAGCTTGCAGCATTGCAATAGAATGTATTTCTCGAGTCCAAAATAAGTATGCCCGCTAATTTCAACACAAGTTATTTATGCATTTCCCTGATTTCCTTTACTATGAAAATTTAAAAAAGAGGATAACACTAGAGAAAATGAAATAAGAAGATGCACACAATACATAAGGTCAAAATGAAAACATTCCTTTTTACAATGCTTTGTCAAAGTGCACTGACCTGAAGATGATTCCCCTATGACAGTGGAGGGGGGAGAGGGGAACGAAACTCGTAAATCATTCTCAAATCCATTCTCCATATTTCGCTGTGTTGGTGTTCCAAAAGGGTTTTAAACATTTTAGAATGTTGAAAAATTAAGGTCGATCTCATTTCCAAACCCTTCTGCTCTTTAATTCGTTTTATTTGCTTATTTGCTTATGTCCCGTATTTGAGAGCCGCGGACCCGCAGGTATGAGAAATTGGTAAGCGGCGCGGCGCTGCCAACCTAACCAAGCTAATGACCTGATTCAAAAATATGTTTTGAATATTTCAAACGATACTAAACAACGATTTGAAACAAACTCGTGTTGGGGGGTGCTAAGGCGACGTTAAATACGAAATCTTGAAACTATAGCCACTGTAGTTGCTGAGAATCGTTGGTGAGTACAAACAGACAGACAGACAGACAGAGAGACGCACGACCAGTCACTTTTCAGCGCGCCCAAACACGGCAAGGGCTTCGCTATCGCTCAGCCAAAAAAGAGGCAAATTCAGAAAACACTGTATATCTCAGCCAATAAATTTTTTGGCGACCTAAAATTTTAGGATGTTTTTTCTTACCATAAGGGCATCTTAAAAAAAAATTTGGGGCAAAATCGGAGGGGGTCATGGGAAGTCGTTGCACGTATTAAATAAATTAGCTCATTATCAATCAGTGCGGCGACAGCGCGGCGGTGCAGCCCGGGCGACGCCGTGCGCTCCGATTACAATTTGTCGTTGAACTGGTATCAAAATGACCGGAAAAGGAAATTGTTGGTACCCAACAGCCACAGTTCTGAAGTCACACTGTGCGGGCAGGCTTGGACTGGCCCCCAAAAGGCCCCAGCGGATAAGACCGCAAAAGGCCCCCGATCATCATTATGTTTTTACCCTTCATGACCAACTTTGTGAGGCTACCGCTCCCAAACTAGTTGCGGTCAATAGCCTTCCCGATACAGGGCATGAAAGAGTAGGGTCTTCAGAATTCTAGGGCGTCGAGGGAAGCCTTTTACGGCAACTAGATTGGACACAGTGGCCGCCCAAAGTCAGCAAAATCAGCAAATTTCCGAGATTCGACCACTTTTTGACCAACTTAGTCGGAAAATCGTTGCGGTCAAAGCCAAAATCGTTGTGGTCAACGTCTTCCCTATACAGGGCATGAAAGAGTAGGGTCTTAAGAATACTAGGGCGTCGAGGGAGGCCGTTGGCCGCAATTAGATCGGACGCAGTGGCCGCCCAAAATCAGCGAAAACGGCTACTTTCGTCCTATATATATACTAGGACTCTTTGACCGACTTTGTGACGTTACTGGTCCCAAACCCGAAAGGCCCCGGCAGATTTTTCTGCCTGTCTGCCCTGGCCAGTCCGAGCCTGAGTGCGGGTGAGACAGAGACGGACTACAGTGCTGTGGCGCACGGCGTGGGCCGGGCTGCACCGGCCGCGCCGCACTGATTGACGGTGTCACCCCTTCCCCTTACGCAGCCCTTTATGTCAAATTGTGGCCAGTGCCACGCGTTCAAGGCGTGGGGAGCTCGTTCGTGGCCTGGCTGGATCGGGCGGTGGCTCCGCGGACACTGGCATTTACTGGCCCTCCGCTGCAAGC